GTGGGGCAGGGACCTCGATCCTGACAACTTCTCCATCCCATACTTGACAGCACTGGGGGACCTGATTGGAACAGGTCTCCTCGCCCTCAGCTTTCACATCCTCTGGCTCATCGGTGACCGGGACTCCGATGTGGGAGACTAGCTCTCCCTGCTGCCTCCCCCTTACAGCTCTCCTCCTCCTCCTCCTTTCATTTTGTTGTTGTTGTTTCTTTTCCTCCACCCTTGCTCATCTTTGCTTTCTCCCGCCACCCTGTCTCTCTTGAGACTTCATCTTTGATACTGGATTCTCATTATTTTCAATGGGAATTTTATGTGGTTTATATTTCAAGCCAAGTTTGTACAGAAAATAAATCTAGTTTTAGGAAGGACAAAATAAGTGTAACGAGACAATCACCAAGTGCAATTTCATAGTAGTTATGTCTGAACCAAGGTTACAGTGAAGATACTAATCAGTCAGATCATGCAGGGAGCCCACCCTGTCCCGGTCACTAGAGGTGAAGGGCTGCTTTTTTCGCTTCATAAGCGTTTTAAATACTGGAGGTAAGGTTCAGATTTATTTTACTGAACAGGCACCTTCTAGCAAAGTACAACCTCATGGATGAGGGCATGGGGTATCTCCTGTCTTCTCTGCCCTGTCGCCCTCCTCCCTTGTGTTTGCTCTCTGAATCCCCCTCCTGTGCCTAGCATCCAAAGCATGCGAGTCTCTGGTAGAGGGATTAGCGAAGATGGCGAGGAAGGGTCCTCTATGCCTCAGCACCCATTCCTGTGTGCACACAAGGAAAGTGAGTGATCTTGGGTTTGAGGACTGCAGAGCCCTGAAATCTGGCCGTGAGCAGGCTGGTCTCTGCTGACAGATTTAGGCTCCCTTTTGCCAACCATCCGGCAGCATCTCAAACTGCAGACTGCTTGTTCTGCCTCTCGTCGTGAACTGAGTTCAGCTACTGCTGCAAGCAAAGGGATACGCTCTGCGCTTTGTCTGAAGAGGCCATGAGCTCTCCCCATCTTTCCTTCTCCCCTTCCACCTGCCCGTGCTCTGCTGGAGGATCTGCTGGAGCCGTCAGGGAAGCTGTGTGCAAGCCTCTCCTTTGTGCTGGTATGGGCACAGCACTATTTTCATGGCAGCATGCTCAGTTCAGTTGATTTTTCTTTCCTGGAGGGGTGGATGGAAAAATAGGTCCTATTTTGCATGTTAAGATTTTCTTTCAGTTGCTGAGTGCTGCTGATGGGTCCATTGCAGCTGGGAAGAAGTCGCCCAATACGTCTCCCAGTTGAGCCTGAGGCATTTCAAACTTGGGAGCGTTAAGCTCTTGGTGTCTTTTAGAAAAGGACATCCATGTTCAGCCACTGGATTTCTCTGTCTGTGTAGGCGCCAGCTGGAAAACAGGTCAGTGGGCACAGACAGATTTCTGAAGTCCTGGTTCTTAGTGCAGCTCTCTGTACAGGACTGTAGCAAAGGAACCTGCTTGCCCTTGAGCAGGCGTGTAAAATCTGGCATCAGGGTTACAGCCCAGCTTGCAAGCGCTGGCCGAGCACCGTGAGTGCAGGGTTCCCTGCTCTGTTTCTTTCCCTTCCGCTTTTTTGTGCTGTTCAGCTTGGCGATGGCCAAGATGCCTTCTCTTCTGCTGCTAGAGTGTGTTGGAAGGACTCTCATGCAGTCTGCAGTGGCATAATGAGAGAAAACCTGTTCTGGCTGTGTGACTAAGGCATTTGTAAATGATCTTCCTGAACGCTGTCAGCACTCAACGCTTTTTAGTTTTCCCATTTGGATATAAATCAATTCAGTAAACTGGGTGGGGTTTGATGTAAGCAGGTCTTATCAACTTGGAAACTTCACCCAGTTACACCAAGTTTTAAATTATGTGCTCAAGCAGACTGCGCTATTAAACAGGCTCTAATGCATGAATATAAATTGAATGCATAAGTGTGCATGGGGGGAAAGCTCTTAACATCTGTCAAGGATGGAGAAAATACAGTATATCCCATGGAGCCTAATTTCAGTGCTGCACTGCGCAAAGCTTGGGGAGCTGCCAGTATCTTCCCAAATGCTGGGGGAATGCCTACAGTATTCAGCATAGTAGCACCTTGCATCCTGGTCCTGAAATGACAGAAGAGCTCTCATTTTAGTTAGCTGTGCAGGCTCGGAGTGCTGCAGTTCTGCCCCTGGTCTGGACACTGCCTGTCCTGCTTATTTGCAGCTCTAGAACATAACCTGAAGGCTGCTGGATTCGTGGTTGTCTGCTTTTCCTCTTGGTTTAAGTGTTTCTCACAGCAGAACACGACCATCCTTGATTGGCCTAATTTCCTCCTTCATGTTAACTTCTGTATTTCTCATACAAACCAATGTTTGTCTTCTCCTTTTGGCTTTCTGTCCCAGCAACGCTGGGCATCTCTGCTCAGCTGGGAAATGGTGCGATGTGGTGCTAGGAATGCTGATCTTCACCTCAAATAAGGCCAGGGTGGGAGATCTGTTTGTTACTCTGGACGATGCCTGAACTAGCTGAGCTCTGCAAAGCCCTGCCTAAGCGCAAACGATTTTGCTTTTAGGTAAGGAGTGATTCGTTAGGAACAGTTCCTGCCACCCCTCAGAAAAGAGAGCTAATGCACCCCTTATGGTCCAAGTCAAGACCAAAGTTAGTCGGGGATCGTGCGCTGTCCCAACCCAGAGACCAGGTTGCAGAGCTGGTCCCTACCCTGGAGAAGAGTGTGTTGGAAAGGAAGGTCAGGATTAGGGAGTGGGAAACCAGTTCTGGAAAGCCACAGGAGCAGATGTATCCAAACCAAACAGCAGTCAGGTTCTTGCCTGCTCAAGGACCTCTCTGAAGCTGTAGAAGAATCCTTTCCTGCTTCAGTGGGTGTATACTGGGTTCTCCTTCTCCTACTGCCTAAGCTGTTCGTAGTGTACAGGAGGTCGAGATGGAATCCTTGCCCGGTCAGGCTGCTCGCTCTCAGACCCTCAGAAGAGCAGGTGATTATATTTTTGAGACGGCTTTCCCCTTTCTCCCTTGCTAATATAAATAACATCAAGCTTGCTTTCCTCTTTCCCATCTTTGCAACATGTCCTTTATGGCTGTAGCTCTGAACCTCATGCTCTCCACCCTAGTGACATGACTTCTCACAGATCTCGTTTGGCCAAAGCTCTGTTCAAGAGAAAAAAAAAAAAAACAGAAAAAAAAAAAAAACAAACCCCAACCTTCACACCCTGCTGTACTGAAGTCTCAGCCCAGGGACTTCTGGAGTATTCTCTGCTGCTCACCTGATTTCTCTGCCTAATGTTGAGGAATACATATGAGACTTCCTTCCATTAACACTTAAGCTTTTATGTATATATATGAGAAACTCTTCTGGTCTTTTAGGTGTCACATCACTATTTAGTTTCCCAAGAAAAGATTCCCCAGAGGAAGAATCTACCGTTTGTGGTCTCCTGTAAAATGAAGAGACCCAGAGGTGATTGAGAGCTGTCGTGCTGCTGGGCTGGTGGCGTCCGTACATTTATATAAGGTCTAAGGTATGGTGGGGGAATAGGTCAGGGAAGAAACTAATTTAAAATTGAAGAATATGGATGGTCAAAAACTTTTCCCACCAGTTGCACTCAAATGCATGCCTACTATACAGCTGACTGCAAATGAAAAATACTGGTTTACTCTTTTTATTAAAGGAAAAAGACTGTCTTAATTATTTATAGTTCCTATAACTGACTTGACAGATGTCAACTTAACTGATAAATTATATTTGGTTAAATAAAGATGACATTTATTTATGTGGACTGTGGTGTCTTTCCTTCAAACACCTCTCTACGTGGTTAAAGGTCTCTCTCTCACATCTTGCTGCTTATTTTAGCTTACGCTGAAACTCTTTTGATGCGCAGTGGAATGAGAGTTAAGAAAATCAAATAAATTGCTGTGCACGAAGCAAACTGTGATTTGTGTAAATGACAGATTAGCAGGTTGGCTTCGGCCGTGCCCTTGCTTGGATCCAGGTAGCTGCGTGGGGGCTCCCAGCAGGAACCGCAGGTGTTTGTTCTCGGCCGCTTGCTGTGTACAGAAGCCCTGCCCTGGCTTACATGTGGCCTCTCTGCCTCTGACTGTTCGTTAAGGTATGCGAAGACAAAAGGGTTCTGCACGCTTTTGGGGGCGTGCTAAGCCCCTGAATTTGCAGGAATTAGTGGCTGTCGAAGGACTCCCACCCTCCCCAGCTGCGGGATTTGCTGTTGTGGGCTGTTTTCCTGTAGGGCTGTGCCTCCTGGCTGCTCGCCCAAACAAGGATCTTGTCGGAGAGTCCTAAAACAAAGCCCCAGCAACGCCAGGGACTGGGGGGCAGCCACCAAGGCCTTGTTGGCTCCAACTTCTCCTCCGGCCCTGGGCCGTGCTACCCAAAGTTGCAGGTGGTTTCCCACACACACTAATATCAGAGTGCTGATGCGCAGGGTGGGTCATTTGATATCTTGGTCTCCAGGGGAATGGGGGGAGGGTTGTGTTTTCCTTTTCTGGTTGGGGAAAAAGAGTGTTGGGGGAAGCTACTGAACACCTAGGACAGAGAGAAACATTTTGGCATTAACTGAAGACCCTGACGGAATCCCCAACAGTGGTGTAGCATTGCTTTAAAAAATATGTATCTACATGTGGGCATGTTGTGGATTCTTTTTATTTGTCTGCTGGTTGCAAAGGGGCAGAGCCCAGGGGTGCGTGGGGCAGGGCCCGGGGGTGCAGAGCACAGGGTGCGGGGGTGCAGAGGTTCATGGGGCAGAGCCCGGGGGTGCACAGGACATGGCCTAGGGATGCATGGGGCAGAGCCCGGGGGTGCAGAAGTGCAGGGCCGAGGGATGCAGGGGTGCATGGGGCAGAGCCCGGGGGTGCAGAGCACAGGGTTCGGGGGTGCAGAGGTTTATGGAGCAGAGCCCAGGGGTGCAGAGCACGGGGTGTGGA